TGAGCTGACTTTAAGGTCAGTTGAAAGGTCAGGAATTTCCTCAGTCCTGGGACTATTCCTTTTGTCCTGATGTTTTCCTGACTGGTGACTTTATCAGTCCAAATCCTGAAAGTTCACTTTCTCTAAGACCCTGATAACCATCTCTGGAACATGAGGTCAAGGTCTGAAGTTTGAAGGCTATCTCAGGGTTCATCCTTCCCATCTTGGTGCCTCCTCATGGCCCAGGGAAAAATGCTCCATAGTGCATCCATGGGGGAGGAAGTGAAGGATCAGGCTGGTGTAGACAGCAGCAGAAGGGCAGTGTGCAGTGCTTATGGGAGCTCAGCACTCAGAAGCTGCGTGCCCAGGGCAGGCTCCAGGAGCCCTGGTCTTCAGAAGCATCAGCTGTGTTGGCAAAGCCAGGGCCCACTTCCTCCTTGAGCAAACAAGCTCATTGGCATAGTCATAGGGAGAGATTTTCCCTCACTGCACCTCCCAGATGTGCAGGCTTCTCTATGAGCATCGGGAGATAAGCCCAGACTGGGGACAGGGAGCCTTCCAGAAAAGCCAACCACTTGTACCACCACCAGGCTCCAAGTCTTTCCTGTCAGTGGAGATACATGCATATATGTGGTACAGTCGCCGAGGAACCAGCTTGGTCTGTGGGAAGTGGGTGGTGGGCCCTGCTCAGTCACTCTGGGGCTGCTGGCAACCTATGACAAGAGTGTTCTGGTCCTGGTTCTTTCCAGACCATCTGGTTGTGGGGGATCATCCTTCCTGGGTTGTCCTGGGAAGAATAAATGAGTATTTATGGAAAGGCTTCCCCACGTGAAACTGGTGTTGCTGAGCTAAGGTTCTAGGATGGTGATTACTGGAAGCCAGTATCAGAATCAGCCATGAGACCAGCACGGTTCCGTATCACTTCCCAGTGAACTTCATGAAGCTTGTTTTTCGGGTGGACCATCAGCATAGTCTGAAGCTCCCCTCTCCCCCACTGGTTGCTGGGTAAGAGGCTGCTTGGTCCAGGAACTAACTTAAGCACAAGGACACAGTTCAAACACACTTGGGACCAGCTGCATGCCGGGCACAGAGCAACACAGAGAATAGCCAGGTGAATGGCTTTCCCCTTGCCCTCGATAGATTCAAGATGACTGTAGTATAGTGCCAGATGTCCTGAAATAAAGGCATGTCTGAAGTATTGGGGACACAGATGAGAGAGATGCTAGTTCTGCCTAAAGGTGGGACCAAGCTACAGATAACACCTGAACTGGGCTTTGTTGACTCATAGGAGTTCACTGTGTGAACCAGCATTTGGGGAGTTGGAGGTGGGCAAGAAGAAAAAGAGCCATGCCCAGAAGACAGAAGGTGCTGGAATGTGGAAGACAGTAGCTGGTGCGGGGATTCATGCATCACTGTGGCCCAGGCTCGTGCTAGGGCTGGGGATGTGAGGTTAGTGGGATCTCTGATGGTTGAAGTGAAGTAGGGTCAGGTCACTGGGATGGTCACTGAAGAGTGACCTTGGTCTGAAGTGTTGGAGGAGGAGCTGTGATGGCATTCCAGGAAGAAAGTCCATGCACACACTGTTCTGTTTGCAAAACCACAAGTGCTCTGCCTGGCTGTTGCTGAAGGAAGGATGCAGGTGCAGAGCCCATCAGAAGTGAGGCTGCAGAGGTTGGCAAATCATGGAGCCTGGATGGAAGCCTGCAGGGTCCAGGCCAGCACTCTTTCCATGGCCCAGACTCTAGTCCCCCAGGGGAAACAAGTGATGCTCAGCCAGGCAGACGCTGGGAAAGTGCCTCGCTGCACCGTAAGCCAATCAACCCCACCACCGTGGCAGGATCTAAGCTTCCAGGTGACCCAGTGTGCAGCCAGGGCTGAGAACCACTCAAACAAAGGAGCTGCTGAGTGTTCATGTCTGCCAGGCTGGAAGCCATTGCCAAGGCTGTGGCAGAGACCCTGGGGCTGACTCATGTTTTCAGGGATTGCTTTTCAAGCAGAGACTTTAAGGATGGATTAAAACAGGAAAGACTGAAAAGTTTAGGGAATAATTAGTTCATCCAAGAGAGAACTGGGTGAGAGAGGGTGAAGGCCTGTGCTCCAGAGGTAGACAGAGAAAAGAACAGTTTTTTAAAAAAAAGTTAATTACACAGAAAACTACAAAATGTTTCTGAGTGAAGTGAAAGAAGATACAAACTAATGAAAACATATCCCACATTCATTGATTAGAAGACAATGTTGTTAAGAGGTCAATACTAATCAAAGCAGCCTACAAATCCAAAGCAATCCATATCAAAATTCCAATGACAGTTCCTAAAATTCATATGGAATCTCAAGGGACCCCCAAATAGCCAAAATAATCTTGGGGGAGGGGGAAAACTCTGTGTGGTAGTCCACAGCTATAATCCCAGGATCTGGAGTTTGAGGCCAGACTAGGATGCATAGGAAGACCCTGTCTAAACAAAACAAAACAAAGAGGCAAAGATGGACGCTTCACTGATTTCAAACTTAGTACAAATCTACAGGAATCAAGCATAATGTTACTACTGGTATAAAAACCAGACATACACACCAATGGAACCGAACAGAGAACTCATATTTATGCTGAGACTGCCCTTGTCAAATAGGGAAAGGAAAGCCTTTTCAACAAATGGTGCTGGGAAAACTGGGTATGAAAGAGAATGAAGTTGCATACTTGTCTTATACCATATACAAAAATTCACTCAAAATGAACCAAAGGCCTAAATTTATTTTAGAATTAAAACTAGGGGGGAAAGATTTATGACTTTGGAGTTACCAGTGATTTCTTAGATATGGCATCATAAGCACAAGCAACTAAAGGAAAAATACAAATAAATTCACTACATCAAATTAAAGACTTCTCTGCACCAAAAGACACATTCAGATGAGTGAAAAGTCAAACCACAGAATAAGAAAGTATTTGTGATCATATATCTATAAAAGGTTAAGATCTAGAATGTGAAAGGAATTACTACAACTCGACAACAGATAGCCCAACTTGGTTTAAAAACATGCACAAAGGACTCAAATAGACATCTTTCCAGAGAAGATTGCAAATGGTCCAGAATCACATGAAAAGATACTTAACACCACTAATCGTCAGGAAATGCAAATAATCCCATAATGAGATGCCTCCTGGTACCCATTAGAAAGGCTACATAAAAGACAACAGAAGATAACAAGTGTTGGTAAGCATGTGGAGAAATGGAAACCCTGTGCACTGTTAACGGGAGAGTCCAGTGGCCCTGCCACTGTAGGACAGTGGGTCCTCAAGGAAATTTAAAATACGGCTACCCAAATCTGGCCATTCCACTTCCAGGTAGACACCCAAAAGAATTGAAAGCAGGGTCGTGAAGGGAGGTATGTACACCTGTGGGTTAGTTTGTTAGGGCTGTTGTAACAAAGTACCATAGATTTGTTTTACTGTAGGTCTGGAGGCTGGAAGTCTTAGATCAAGATGTGGACAGGGTCTCTTTCTCCTGAGGCCTCTCTCGTCAGCTTGCAGATGGCATCTTCCTCTTGTGTCTCCACGTGGTCATCCTCTATGTGTCTGCATCCTACTGTCCTCTTCTTACAAAAACATCGGTCATGATGGATTAGTGTCCATGATAATGATTTTATCTTAACTTACTACATCTGTAAAGCCCCATCTCAAAATGCAGTCATCTTCTGGGATCCTGTACTACAACATATGGATTTTTGTTGGTGGAGGGTACAACTCAGCCTTTAACACTTCTGTTCCAAGCAGTGTTATTTACAATAGCCAAAAAGTAGAAGCAACCACAGAGTCCATCAGCTGACAAATGAATAAATGAATATGTTCTGTCCATACAGTGGGAAAGTATTCAGCCTTAAGAAGGAAGAACATTCTGTCTCATGTTATAACATATGACACTCTGACTTGTGTGACACTTGAAGACATGCTAAGTGAAATAAGCCAGTCACAAAAGGACAAATACTGCATGCTTCCACTTCTGTGAGGTCCTGGAGTTGTCAAGTTCACAGAGGCAGAAAGTAGAATGGTAGTTGTCAGGGGCAGGAGAGGGAGGATGGCTTTAGTGTTTAATGGGTACTGAGTTTTAATTTGGGCAGATGCAAAGTTTCTGGAAATAGATATGGTGCATGCACAACAGTGTGGGTATACTTACTGCCACTGAACAGATGCTTAGATGGGGGTCTGGGGGTGTAGGTCAGTGGTAGAGCATTTGCCTAGCTTGCACAGGCTCTGGGTTCGATCCTTAGTACTACAAAGAAAAGAAAAGGTTAGATGATAAATTTCATTGTGTGTATTTTACCACAATTAAAAATTTTAAATAAAAATGGAAAGTTATGGACTCAGGTTCTCTGAGTTTGAGGATGGACAGGAGAGGCTCTGTCCATCCTGTCTGCAGATGTTTGCCAAGGCCAGATGCAGGACTCTGGAGGAGCAGGCTGGGGGTTAAAAGATGCCTCCATTTTACACCTGACTTTGCGATGGGCAAAGTTACCCCATCTGCATCAGGCCATGTCCCATTCTCCTTGGCCACTGTGTCACTAAGTTTTACTGACCCCACCCATGATCTTCCCAGGAGACACATTTTTTGAGGACACTTCATAGAGGCCCATGTTCTGTGTCATGAGATAAATCCTGTCTATCAGCCACTTCCCAAATCATCCCTAAACGGGCTACCACTGTTTCTGCCTTCCTTCCTTGCCTCTTTCCTTCCTGCCCCTTAAGTCCCAGGCCTTTTCTTCCTTCTCCCTTCCCTGGGATATGTTGGGATGTGGTGGGTTGTACTGGAAATTTGGCTTGATGTTCTGGAAGGGAGTGTGGGGAGTGGGGGCGGAGAGGGGGTGGCTAACCTTCACCTCCTCCTCTAACCTGTGCCCCATCCAAGTCCCTCCTTACAGATTGACTCTTAGGAGGAGGGCTCAGGAAGGAGGAGGCAATGCCCTCTTAGAGCCACTCACAGTCCAGAACTGAGGGCTGCTGTCATTGACCATGTACTCCCTTTCTGTCCTAGGACCTGAGTTCCTTTGCCATGCCGCTCCTGGATGGAGACCTGGAGAGTTCAGAAAAGCATTCTTCTCGCAAGGTAAAGCCTCCTTCCTGAAGCTTCCCACCACTCATCTGAGGTGCCCCAAGGCAGGCAGAGCCTCAGACACCCTTTCACCTGGCTTTCACTTGCACTCCTGCCAGCAGGTTGCCTTGTCCAGCTGCATACCTGGCTGTGACTGAGTGCAGCCTGGGATAGTACTCCAAGCCCCTGTTCTGGTGTTCACACAATTCCCCTCCCTTGCTCTGGGATGACTGTGGCCCTCAGCCTCCCAGAGTAGGCAGAGCTGAACGAGGTGAGTGCTAGGTGCTAAGTAGCAAAGAGGAGTTTGAAAGTGTTAGTAGAGTCAAGACTGGCCGTGGATTTCTGCTAATGTCCACCACAGACAGGAGTTTGTCCTTCCCACCTTAGCCAAGGCCCTGGGCTCTGTCCTGTGCCTGGTCCCCTATCCAGCAGTCCCTGTCCCCCTGTGGTCACCTTGGTCTCTTTTCTACTTTCTCCTCCCTCTTTAGCTCACTGTTCTCCCCTCTGCCGCTGGTCAATTTTTTTTCTTCCATTAGGAAACCCTAGTGTCTTCAAGGCCCTGTGGGGTCAGGCGAGAAGTGTGGGACTGGTGGTGTTGATGTCAGTAGATGCGGAATTGGGTGGCCCTGCACAGGAGGGGGAGGTCAGGCAGCCTGTCCCATTCTCCCACAGTCAGAAAGGGAAGGTGGCAGAAGGCTGGGCAGGGAGTCCTCCCTGGACATCCTGCCACCCACAGACCCCTGTGGCAGGTGATTGTAGGGAGCGGCTGGTGATAGGGCACTTTGCGCAGTGCCTGGGAGTGGCTGCTGGGTGCTGGCCAGCTTGGGATTAGGCAGGAGTTCCAATACTGGAAAAAGAGAATCTATTCTCTGAGCACTTTGAGTTGCATACAATTCAATCAACAAATTGGTTTAGCCCCATGGGCTCAATTGGTGTCAGTTCCTTGCCCCACCCTGCCCTGAACATGCAACCTTGTTAGCGGCTATTGTGGCCCAGCTAGAAAAGACTGGCAGAGAAAAGCCTCAGGCCTCTCCAGTGAGCTTCTTGGGCCAGGAGAGAACAACTGGAGTTTGTTCATTCATGGCATGAATGAGCCGTCAAGCTCAGAGCCCTTGCCACCCTCTTCACCATCTTCCCCTGAAAACCCAACAGGAACTGAGCCTGCAGAAATGCTCTAAGAGCACTGGGGTTCCCTCAGACCCACGCCGTCCCTTTTGTGGGTCCAAGGGTCCCAGAGTAAAGCTGTGTCAGGAGTGAATCGCAGCTGAGCAGGAAAGGGTGTGAAGGTGTCCTTACCTTCCCCCAGCATTTTCTGGGAACTTAGGGGGATACTAGTGATGGTGTGAGGGCCCTTGTGCGCCTGACTCACCTGTTGGCCTGGCAGGGAAGGGCTGACCTCAGCAGGAGGAGGAGGCTGATCCCACCAGACAGCGCCCAACAGTGGTGGTGGAGCATCAGAGGCTGCAGAAGAAGGAACCTGAAACCTACTTACCCAGAAAGCAGTGCTTCTCATAAAACACTCTTTTCTACCCCCCATGCAGCCTGGGGACAGGGCCTCTGATGAAAGGGGAGAGGAGAAGTAGAAGGAACTGGTTCCCAGGAGCTTTACTGCCTAGGATTTTCCTTGACCTACCTGGCCCCATCCTGTCACCAGAGAGCAGACGGCACCTCTTTCTGATCTGCAGAGCCACTTTCCGTCAGACCCAGGAGCCTGAGGTTTAGATGACAAACAAGGCTGGTCTTTGTGGTAGGCAGAGTGAGGTGACTGCCTATCAGGGATGATTTCCAAATTGCCCAAGACTGAGTTGCCTCTTCCCCTGACAAATTCTTCATGTAAGCAACCAAGTTCAAAATGAAAATGCCTGGGAAGGAGCCCATGGTCCCATTCCTACCCATGTCTGGCCCTTTCTGAGGACAGATGTTAGGACAGCAGGCTCAAAGAGGACAGGGGACGCTAATGGGCTCCTATGGCAGAGAGAAGGTAAGGAGGGGTATACTGGAGTCACTGCTACCCCAAGGAAAGGGGTTAGCTGGGGACCAGAGGAGGACGGTGGCAGTGGAGGCTGTGACGATGTGTGCCCCAGGAGCGTCTTTGGATTTATGATATACGCCATGTGAGGACCTCTGATCACTTCCACTTCCACAAGTGTGAGTGGGTATGAAGTAGCAATCGTGAGCTCGGTAGTAAGGACACGATCACATCTTACTTTTGTATGGTAAACATACATCTGACTCTGCATCACCATCCCCCAGTTAGAGAGGGAATGTGCATCTCCATCATGCCTAGACTTCCTTCCAAGGCTGGTCCAAAGGGCTCCGGTCCCAAGAAATACAGCACATACGTGTATTTTTTAGATGAGGGAGAGGGAGTTCAGGATGATGCTTCCTCATTGAGCCAGGCCTGAGGCGAGGTTGCTTGATGTTCCGTCTCCTGTATTTTCCACCATACCATAATATCCTGAACCTCAGGCTGATGAGACAGCCCATTCAGGAAAGTGTCCCAAGCCAGATAGCTCCCACCTCAATGCTGCCTGCCCTTCGGCTGTTTCTGCATCTCCGACTACGACCAAGATCGCCATCCTGTTGGGGACTCTGTCCCTCTTTGGCAGTGGTGAGTGAAAATCTTTATGGCTGCCAGGCTGGGTGTTCTTAGTAACTTCCCCGCTCCTGATGGATGGACTGAGTTTGACTTCACTGTCTGAATCCCATAGCCGGTGCTCTTGACTACCTACGGTGCATCAGTTGACTCATATCATCAACAGGAAAATGGGACTAGTGTCTCCTCTCTACTCCGCTCCCCATACCCCCTTCCCCAAGAGATGGTAGCTCTTTGTTGTACAACAAACAGACCTCTTGACTGGTAGAGTGGCTCAAGTGGTAAGAGCACCTGCCTAGCAAGCGTGAGGCCCTGAGTTCAAATCCCAGAGCCACTAAAAAAAAAAGAACTGCTTAACAGACCTCTGTGCAGAATCCTGGTCATTTGACTGTGCAGCTCTGGTGTGTGGCTCCTGGGCCAGCACTAGCAAAGGAAGGTCAGTATTAGATGACACTTTTGGGGTCATTCAACACCATTGCAATCTGTGGTCAGCCAGCCTGGCCTGGCTCCAGGGGACCCTGTGGAATGACCAACATAACCTGCATAGATGACCGTGGATTTTCTTCTCAGTGTACACTGATCCTGAGACAATTAGCTGACCATCTTGTCATTCCTGGCAACCTATCCTCCATGTGACCCTGAACAAGACATCATCTATGAACCTGTCTCCCCACTGGCCAACTGGGGTTAGGAAATGTGCTTACCTTTTACTGTGAGGATTATGGGAAGTCGCTATGGAACAGATGCAGAATGTACCTGCCCCATGGCAGCTGCTCAAAGGGCAGGTCTGGGGACGCAGGTGCATCAGCACATACACTCCATGTCAGATGCCATGAAGAAGAGCATCCTTCCATTCGTCGTTTACCTGACTTAAAGGGAGCATTGCACTGGACAGGACTGTACACACAACCTGGCACTTGTCTAGTCCATGTGGGAGCCCTCAGGACTCAGATGCAGCTGCCCTACCTTTAGTTCACCCAGCCTGAGTGGCTGGACTTGCCTAGGGCCTGCCTCAGCATAGGGAGGCTTCCTCTTCCCCAGCTTCCTTCCTTGGCTCCTTTCATCTATTCCTCCTTCCTCTGCATTCTCTCCAGCTCCAAGAGACGTCAGATGTCCTGTCTTTGAGTCCTTCCTGGCTAATCCTGAAGTTAGCTTCCCCCTGAACTCCTTGCTCATTCTCATGCCTGCTACCTGCTCTTCCTCAGAGCAGAAGGCAGGGCACAGCTAAGACCCGAGTATCAGGAGGCTTGGCCCCCCCATCTCCACTTCCTCCCTGGTGGCTTCATGACAAATGGCCCTGTCTGGGAAGCTCTGCCCAGCTGAGGCCTGAGTGCCTGCTTTCCATTAGCTCCTGTGGAGCCAGCCCCACACTGAGGAGTCTAACCTACACCCAGGGAATCATACAGTTATTTTGATCAAAGTATCATTTTGTCACAACTAGGCTAATGGCCTGGGCTGAGGCTGTCCCTGGCGCCCTCGGTCTACTGCTCTCCACTGCCCCAGCTGGGAAGGGCTGGGCCTCCATCAGACTCTCTCACTGGCAGAAGTGTAGTCCTGCTTGGGCAGCTCCCTGAGCGAGAGGCTGGGCAGGCCCAGCATCCAATGCTTTTTGGCCATTTTCAGAGGATGAGCGTGGAGGGGCTGCTTTCTGGGGCTCCTTTGTCAGGCCTGATGGCTGAGTAGTGGGATACCCTGAGATTATGAATGCACAATTTAGTGAGGTCTTAGGGGCCCCCTTGCCCACCAGATAAGGTTCAAGCCCTTTATGGCTGGTTTTCCAGTAGTATTTGGCTCAGTTTGTCCCAAGGGCCCTCTGGGTTGATGGTGTATGTCACCCTCTCTGAACTTCTAGCTTCATCTTCTCCAGCCGCTGCTCTGGAATGTCTCTTGGCCTCATCTACCAGCCTGTCCAAATCTATCCAGACTTCAGAGTCATCTCTGAGCTAAGGTCCCATGATGGGTAGTTTTGATTCCCTGGACAGCCCTTCATGTCCCTTGTGGTTATGAGGTTTTGGTCTTGGCCACTATGCTCTGTGAGCCCCTTGGGGACCTTCTACTTCCTTGTCCATCTTTGTCCCCTCCTTAGAACTGGACACTGACATTTGCTCAGTACTCCTTCTCCCTGAGCCAAGTTCATTGGCAATGCAAGGGGCACAGTAGAGCAGTAGAGCACAGCCTTCAGCCTCAGAGACTCCCTAAAGTGACTGTCTCCCTGTGGCTGTCCTGCTTGACCTCAATTCCTCTTCCACCTCTTGTTCCCAGCCATTTCTGTGCTTCTCATTCAAGGAGGTGTGTGGCTTGAGAGTAAAGACCACAGTCTCTAAGGTCAGACTCCATCACTTGCCAGCTTTGAGGCTTAGCTATGGCCCCAGCTTACATCGTCTCTTGGCATCAGACTTGATAGCACCCAATGATGGAGGAACATGGTTGGGACTACCAGAATGGGCAGTACTACATACACCAGACTACCATTGCCTGGCTCAGGAGCCTTCATGGTTTCCCCAAAGACAGGGACTCTCCCTAATTCAGCCTCCTCTCCCAGGCTCCAAGTCCCTTCTCCCACAGATAGTCCATGCCATTGAAGACACATTTTACCAAATGCGTAGTGATGCCACCAGCAAATGTGTATGAAGTACTTCTCATGCCCCAGAGCTATGCTAAATTCCCCACTTGTACTGTGCCCCGTTGTCTTCACAGCCTGTGAAAAAAGCCTAGTGCCCTCACTGTGCAGTCAAGGAGCAGGCTAGAGGGCCCAGGTCAGTTGTCCATGCATACTGATAGAACTGGGCTGGGACTCAAACTCAGGTCTCTGCCTCGAGTCCTCCCTTGTCATTCTGACTTTACTGCGGAGGCACCTTCTATTCCCTGGACATGTGGTCCCACTGTAGATGAGGGTCTCTTGGCCCCAGACACCCTGCTCCATGTCCTCCACACTCTACCCACCACTAGAAAAGCCTCTCACTTTAAAGTTTATCTCCAGAATTACTGTGAGTCCCATAGGCAGGAGGGACAGTGGCTGAACTTGATACTCTAGACAGAGGATCTAACTGATTTTCATATTAAATGGTTAAAAAAAAGAAGAGAGAAAACCTTGAACTTTGAGGTGGGCTTGGGTTACGTGGTCCTGGTAGCCATTCTGCCACAGAAGCCATTCAAGAAGGTTGGCACTGAGCCCGTCCTGCAATTCCATGTTCTTTAGGGTTGCATGGCAAATTGGAAGGGGGAGATTGGACCCTTTGGAAGTTGGTGGTCACTGAAGAGAGCACCCAGCAAGGACACTGGACTCTTTAAGGGCCTGCAGGCTTGGTGTTCAGGGCTGCCCTCTAGTGGTGGAAGGATTTACAGGGGCCCTGGTCAGGGCAGAGTACCAGATCCCGGACAGAGCACAGCAACTCCAGTTTCACTGTTGCCCATGAACCTGTGATAGTACTTCTCTTTCCTGGTGCTGAGCTGGGAAGCCCATGAAGTCCCTTCAGCTCCAGTGTTACAAGTTCACCAAGCAATAGGATGCCAGCGATCACCTGCATTTCTGCAGGTGGACTGCAAATGAAGTCCTGTGCCATGTTCATACATGAGACCTAAAGGCTGAGGGTACATCTATCCAAATTGTACAGATGAGGAAACCAAGGTAGCATGGGAAGGGGCAGAGCTAGGGTCAGAGCTCTCTCATTGCAGGTGTGAGTTCCCGACCCCACACAGCTAGACAGTGAATCATTGTCAAAGGCTTGAAGTTATGGGACCCCATAGTTTTCAAACCAGAGCTACAATTCTAAGTCATCAATGAAGTGAGCCTCTAAAGTTTGGGGATTCTCAGTTTTCTTTCTGACCTGTGTCAGCAGCCTTGGTCACTCAAATGCCACAGCAGCTTGGGGGTGAAAGATTCATCATTTCTGAGCACCAGGGTCCTCAGGATGGAGCTCTGGGCCCCCCGTGTTTTGGATATAGGGATTTGTGCTTCCCACATATTCCTGGGTAGTGAGACTTTGAGAAGGACAAACAGGAGGCCTTGGGAACAAAGGAAGAAGGCAGAAGTGTGAGTTGTCAAAGGAGGAGGATGTGCCCTGACAGGTCCTGTTCACTACCTGTTTCCCCATCTCTGCCCACTACCTCCTGGAAGGAAGGCCCTTCTAGGCACTGACCTCTGTAGAGGAACCAGGGATGTTTGTAATGGTAGTCAATCAGAAGGACAGTAGTGACAGGTCTGGTGCAGGGCAGAGGTCAGAGTGCCCTGAGTGCTGGTAGCCTCACTCATTTATCTGTCTTTCTGCAGGTGGACAGCCCCTTTGGCTCGGGCAGCCCCTCCAGGGGGCTCTTCTCCAGAGGGCCCCAGGCCCGGCCCTCTAGCCCTGTGTCTGCTCCTGTGAGGCCCAAGACCAGCCCTGGCTCTCCCAAAACCGTGTTCCCCTTCTCCTACCAGGAGTCCCCTCCACGCTCACCACGCCGCATGAGTTTCAGCGGGATCTTCCGCTCCTCCTCCAAAGAGTCTTCACCCAACTCCAACCCATCTACCTCACCCGGGGGCATCAGGTTTTTCTCCCGCTCCAGAAAAAGTAAGACATTGACGCTATGGTTTCATGTGGGTGCTGGGCTGCTGGGGACCCTTGCTATGGCCACCTGGTCAAGTGGCACCAGAGCCATTGGGTGTCTGTGGGTGACTTGGTGCTGAATGCATGTGTGTCTATTTGTTTGCAAGAGCAAATCTTTCTGCATAACGTGTTTCCACCTGTTGCCAGCACTAATCCTGTTTTGGTAAGCTCTGTGGGGTTAACTGCAAACTTTCTGATGGTCATAGTCTGATTTCTAAGGACAAACATTTGCCTCCAGCCTTCTCTGGAAATCAGCATACACCTGTCACTGTGGAGAGTGGAGTAGGAGAAGCCTGTGAGGACATAAGCACAGTTGTAGTCAATGTTCTGCAGGCTGAGTTCAGCACAGCCCCAGCTGCAGAATGGGGCAAGAGTAAGATGCAGAGCAGCTGCTTTTCCTAAGTTGTTTAGAAACAGGAACGCAGGTTCCTCCTGTTACAATGTCATGCCCCTCCCATTGCTCCACCTCCTTGTTTACCATTGGCTATAAAAGACTTGCTGAAGGAGGATGCAAGGCTTTTGGATGGGGGAGGATTTTTGATAGGGGGTTTTTGACTGAAGGGAAAGTGCTGGAGGGAGGACTGCTGAAGGGAAAGAATAGCTGAAGGGAGAATTGCTAAAGAGGGGTTGATAGAAAGTCTGCACTGAGAACTTTATACCTAGGCTTTAGATAAAGCTAAGCTAAAGAAAAGCTAAGAGAAAACATGGGACAGAGTGAGTCTAAGGAAAGAGACTTCAAAGAAAAGAAGACGTTAGAAGTGAGGTTTTAAAGAATAGAAAGAAGAAAGACTTCAGAAGCAAGATTTTAAAGAATTGTAAAGGAGTAAGGCCTTAAAGAAAAGACAGAGAAAAGAAGCAGAGTAGAGAGAAGAGATTAATAGAGGAAAAAAAAGCAATGAGGTTGTTGTGCATCTCCATCCAAGCGCGCAACACACCTGGCCCCAACTCTCTGTCTATCCTTTGTTCTTTCTGCATCTCCCATCACCTCCAGTTAGCCCCAGTTAGGTTTAGTAGTAACAAGGAAGTGAGGAAAAGCTCACTCCATGGCACTAAGGCTAAGCTCACAGGGCCCAGATGTCTTCCTAATATGGCCCCTATCCTAGGGATTTGGTATTTGGGGGGCTTTAACTGTACCTGTTTATAGCAGAGCCTGACTTTTTCTGGCTGGGGCTCTGGGCAGCAGGGAATGGAGGCCAGGATGGATTTGTTGGAGAAACTGAAAGGAAATGCATGTTTGAGAGAGAGAGACAGAGTCCCTTGGAGTCATTTGTGATCTGGAGATTTATATTGTCACTTGAGCACCCTTGGTCATAATGTGAAAGACACAAGGCCAACTGTAAAGTGATGGAGCCATTTCCTTCCTTCCTGTGTCTTCTCTTCCCAGTTCTTTTTGCTGACTTAGAACATTTGCATTAGGGAAGATGCTGCATGAAAAACAAGCTTGCCCTTGAGCACCAGAGGTCTGGGGTATTCCTTCCCTCAGGGTTGTGTTTGCATATAGGAGCAAACTGAATGGAATTTCAGTCCTCACGGGGTTACCAGGACGGTCACCTCCTCCTCTTTGTTGTGTGTGTGTGGTTTATGGTCATTTCTTCTAGTACCCCTAAAGTCATCTCCCCAGAATAGCAGCTCTTCTGCCTCTCCGTGAAGCAAATACACAAACGACCCGTGACTGAGGTATTGCAGGTGAGACAGCATGGGCCTGGAGGCTGACATGACTGGGGAAAGGTGTTGTCCCTCTACAAAGGGAGAGGAATGTTCCAGCACTGAGGTATCCCTGGGCTGCTAGTAGCTTCCTGAATTTGTCAAGTGCAGTTGTCCCTCGCCATCCCGGGGGCTTGGTTCCACAGCCCCTGCAGATACCAATCTGAGGATGCTCAGGTCACTTACACAAAATGACATCATGTTTTCATTTAACCTACAACAATCCTTGGTATCATTTAAATCACCTCTGGATTGCTTGTAACACTGAAAACAATGTAGATGCTACAGAAATGGTTGTACCATATTGTTTAGGGAATAACAAGAAAAGGAGTCTATACTTTCTCAGTATAGAGGCAATTTGTTAAAGATATTTTTGACAAATATCTTTATTTGTCAAAATGGGTGGTTGCATCCACGGATGTAGATCCCACAGATAAGGAGTGTCAGCTGTATCTCATCCTGTACTACCTGTAAGTGGGGGTACAGAAGACCAGACCTGTTTCTTACTGGTTTCTCCTCCATGACTGCCATAACAAACATCACAAACTGGGGATTTAGAGCAACTGAAATAGATTCTCTCACAGTTCCAGAGCTGGAAGTCCAAGATGGAGTTGTGGGCAGGGCCTCTGAAGGTGCCAGGGAAAGATCTGCTTCAGACCCTTGTTGCTGGCAGCCCCCCACCCCGCTCCGCCTGGCATTCTTTGCCTTCTGTGGCTTGTGAATGCATCACTCAAATGTCTGCTTCCTCATTACATGGTGCCCTCTCTCCTCTTCTTACAAGGAGATTGCACTGGATTCAGGTGCCTCTACTCCAGTATGACCTCATCTTAACTTAGTTATGTGTGCAAGAACCCTATTTAAAAGAAAAAAGTTACATTCCTGAGGAGGACACAGATTTGGGAGGACTCTGTCCAACTCAATTCATACATCTTGGAAGGCCAAGATCTATACTTGAAATCACTGGTTAGGGTGTGGAGGGCTGTGGGGTGATCATCCTGTTAAGATCAGAGCTGTCTCTGAAGGCAGAAAGAAGTAGACAAGATATGGACTGTGGAGGTCTGGGAGGGCGGCACATGGGCACCAGAGACCAGGATGGACCCAGCTGGATTAGATCCTAGCACCCCTCTCCATGAGAGCTCCCTAAGAGGCACTAGATTTCTGGCACTGGAGAAGAGCTCGTCCTAAGCCATAGAAGGTTAGCCAGTTCAGTAGACCAGCATCTGAGAGTGGCAAAAGGTCTAGGGTTCCCAGGAGTTAGTCCCAAAAACCCAGTAATTAAATAAGTAAGCAATAGGATGTACCATTAATTTGGAAGCCAGGGATGATCAGGTTAGAGGGACGCTAACCACTTCAGTGGACCAGACTGGGACAAGTAGCAATGTGCCCACACCTGAGGTTTTGAGTGAAAGAAACTCCCGCCCAAGCCCAGTGGTCCCCAGGAAGAGCCAACCACCTCCAACCTGCCGAGCCACATCCCTTTTTCACCCAAGCCCCTGGGACTAGTTTAGTATTCCCACAAAGTTTTGCAGTAAGGTGGGGCCCAGAAGAGGCTCCCAGGTGGCCCCCAGATGTCTGCTGGGGAGCAAGCAGAGGAAGGGTGAGGCTCCAGCTCCACCACTCACAGGCCCCCAGCACAGGCATGTGGAGAGGAAACAGGGCTGGAGAGATGTAGGGGCTTGCTCATGCCTCTCCATGTGGTGAGCGGCACAAGAAGCCAGGTCTACCTCTGTTACATCATTCTTCATCCGGCATTATGCAGAAGGCGGAGGGGTGGTGTGTCATGTTCTCTGTGGATGGAGAAGATGTGTCACTTGGAGAGACCATGTTTCACCCACAGGAAACAAAGGATGCTTGAGCCTGTGGGATGGGACCCCTGTGAGGCCATGGGTCATCTCCCTTCCCCTAACTTCATGTGTCTCCACTTTGGGGTGAACCTGCTCTTCACCTGCCTGTGTAAACGTTGTCTCAAATTAGAACTCAGAGGACTCCTGCAGAGAAAGGGGATCAGACCTGCCCTGGTGAAAAAGGTGTGTGGAACCTGCATTCCACACACAAGCAATGTCTGTCCAACAGGGGGAACAGTCAGGAGAAGCAGACACTTTGGCAGATGGAACAGCGTTGTTGCCCTGGGCAACCTTTCTCTGTAAGGGATGTGGAGAAACATCTCAGAGGGCCTGGCCATTGGGCAGATGTGGAAGTTTGCGAGCCTGTTCCAGGCAGAAAGGGTGAGAGATTCGGGTAAGGCACCATCACCCTCCTGCCCCCAGCTGCACTGAGTGCCCCACTGAGGGGGTGGAGTGGGGGAAAAGGAGAGGGAAAAGAGCAGATATGGGGGGAGGGGACCACTGCAGGCAAACAGTCCATCCAGAGCTGGGAGGTGCAGAAGGACCATCCTGTCTCCAGGGCCCATACTGAGGGTCAGTCCAGCCTTGCCACTGTGTGTCACTTAAGGTGTGGTGCTGCTCCCTGTCCAGCTTAGAAAATTAGCTGCTTCTTTAGAAACTGAGTCCCAGAAAGATCTCCTTTGAAATTGTGCCAGTTTCTTAAAGGATTGCTCCTTTAATTGTTTTTGACTTTTAGATTTTCATCCATTTCCAACCATTTTGTTTTAGACACTGACAGATTCACAGACTTGTAGATAATTAAACCTGGAAGGGAATGTAAGGGAACTGTTTATGGGAGGAGAAAAATGCAGATAATAATTTGAACATGCACATTATATATGTGTATATATTTTGTGTACATGCATGTGTATGTGTGAGCAGGTATGTGATACCTGCATGTGTGTAGATTACATGCATATGGATCTGCACGTTTGTGTGTGTATTGCAATATGTAGAATTGTATGCGCACATATATGTGCATATACACGTGTGTCCTGTATGTACACGTGTGTGTACATGTGTATGTGTATATGCAGGTTATGTGAGTATACACTCACACCTCTTATTTTTAAAGGACTGGCATCGAGTGAAAGATTAGAATTGAATAAATGAGTTGAAGGAGATTTTTGCTTTATATGGGCTATTCCAACTTTTTGAGATGCTATTCATTTATAAGTGAGTAACAACTTAAAAGACAACTACGTTCTGAGAAACTGTCCAGCACTCAGACTCGAGCTTCAGGGCAGTAACGCAATGTGGAACAGAAGTGGTGGGGGTTGGCAGGAAGTCACATGGGTCAAGGGCTGGCAGGGGACATTCAGCGAAGCAGGGCTGAGAGAATATGGTAGAACGCGTGGTGTGGGGCATTTCCTTGTT